CCCTTTAGATACGCCACTGAGGGAGAGACCCTAACTAAAAGAGTTCGCTTCCCGTTTCACACCCCACACGCCCAAGCAAAAATTACACTAAAGTAGTTATAACTAACTCAAATATCACCTTATTTTGCCAGCTATCGCGCACCCCCTACACACACTCAGTTCATTAGCAACCCCTTCGACTCAGCACCTTCCCCATCATCCCATTCCAATGCCCCAAATAGGCCTACGCCACTCTTGCCTACTCAAGTGCTGCTCTCTCAATCATCAACTTCTTAACTAGCTTCACTTAAAACTCATGTCCGCAGTGTTTCTTTTAAGTTACCGACCGACATCTGTTATGATATCAAAGATTTAAATGTCAGTGCCACCGAGGCTTGAGGTTGGTCTGAAACATCTTCATTTTCAAGAAAAAGTATAGGCCTATTGTGAGGTGGTTTGGCGCAGTAGAAACGGTTGATTTCCCAACTCCAACCACGAGAACGGAGTTTCAATCCTTTGCTGTGAATTTCCTTGTGTTCTTGAGCAAGGCACTTTATTTACATTGCTTCCGTATTATATTGCTTACATTGTTCCAGAACGTGGACATTTTGCCGAATGCTAGTTTGCCGACGGATGTTAAATTGGCCGACATCAGTTACCGAAAGAACATTCACCGACACCGGAATTCGCTGACACCGAATTTCGCCGACAGGATTTTTGCCGACTGGACGTTTCGAGGACATAATTCGCCATCAAACATTTAATTATTTTTGTCGTGCTGTGATTGATGTTTCGTCGACAGTTTTGTTTTTTGGAGGACTGGTAGTCATCACGGAAAATCGTTATTTATATAGGATATATAGGCCTACATGCAGACCCACTTTAAATCATGAAATATAAGATTCTGCTAAAAATGTTGAATACAGGCATATAATAAACACATATTCATCTTTATTTTTATTAAATATTTTAGTACTATAGAAAATCATAAGAGACTGTAATAATTAACACAATATAAAGGGCAATTTTTAAACAGGTACAAATTAAGATAAAAAGAAAGACGAGATAGAAGATACAATGTACGTGACTTAATTGCAAATTTTAAAGATGCTTTGTTCTGACTTTGTTCTACACCAACACAACGAACGACTTACCATACTTGAATGTCCAGCACAGCTGGATTGGCATCGGCATAAAGTGCCACTTGCACAATTTTCATAATTTGTGTACTCAGCACAACCGATGCTATTTACATATAACTTACAACTTACCTTGATTTAATAGCTATTCTCTTTGTTAGTAGTGAAATTAAATAACTGAATAAACTGTCGTTCAAATGTCTGTCGGTAACCGTCCCGCCACGCTCCGGCTATAATGCAAAGCTGGGAGGCTAGCGTCCGCAGCAGCAAGGGAAGCAGGAGCATAGCACTCATCAGCTTCACTCTATACTTGAAACTTAGGTTAAGCTCCAGACCTATTGGCCCTAGTGGCTCGGCAAGGATTTACCTTATTTACCAAGAAAAAAGTATGCCTCAGATTTTGTGATTTTAAAAATACTGTCCCAGAGTGGTGGTACCGGTATAGGGGGAAAATTTCGGGATGAATGCTCCCAGGTCACGCCTACTGTAAATTGGTCTCTAGTTTGAATTGGAAGAGTTCTGCGAGTCTGTCCCTGGTTTATAATCGAGTCTGGAACGATAGGCCCTACCCTACTCATATGTTTTTGCCAACCCCAGAACCCACCAGACCAGAACCATCATTATGCTGCTGTGATGATGCATGCACCAACAATGAAAACCAAAGTGCCGCCCTCCAAATCTTCACAAGACGGTTTTTAATACGATCATTATTTTGTAATCATAAAAAACAAAATATTGAGCATTTGAAAAAAAATATATAAGCGTACAACAACAACAACAAAGATATGGGCTAGGCCTAAAAAACAGAACAACCGAACTACAACCAAACAAAAAAAAAAAAAAAAAAAAAAAAAAAAGGAAAAAGAAAAAAAAGTTTACAAACTAAATAGATCAGAGTTCAAAAACATTACAAATTTAGTAGCCTAAGTATTAAAAAATAAATAGGCCTATTGCAGGAATAGATGTTCTTGTGCTGCCATACCGTACCGGAAACTTTAGAGATTGGACCCAAAGCCATGATTAATCTCAATGATGTTGTGATTCTGCTCCAAAGATCTTATAAACACAAGATAGCGTTCTCCGCGATTTACGCGTAACAAATAGAAGCGTCGGTCAAGTCAAAAGTTTCCAATTTAGCAAGAGGGCGCCATTCATGCCTTATTACAGAATTTGCACGCGTAAATCGCGGAGAACGCTATCTTGCGTTTATAAGATCTTTGTTCTGCTCTTAGTTCAGATACGAGAGGGCGCTAGACTTGTCTCAATCATCTTTTTAAAAATCCACGCGAGACTTGACACCGCAAGCTTAAAAATTCCTGGCATAACTAAGTAGCGGAATACAGTACAGTACTGAGTATTGGCCAAAAACTAAGTTGAGGTCTATGTATGAGATTGGTCGCTGATTGTTATCTGATAGTGAAGGCGAACACATCATTTTTACACTTTTTGGGATATTATATATTATTCAACCTTGCACTTGGTAGGTTCTTGTGTGATTTTGTGATATATTATGTGGTACTTTCTTAATTTTGGCCAGTTTTGAGCTAAAAACAGTCGGTGGTTGTCTGTGTTGTGGTTCTGTCAGCCAGCGTGTTTTAAGTGTTGATTGTGCTATGTCGAACACTGAGGGCAGTCGTTCCCGGAGGCGTCTTCTAAAATCATCTACACACGACTGTTGGGGTAGGCCTAGGCTTAGGCCCATATGCCTAACCTACGTAAAATGTAAGAGATGGCTTGACTAGGCCCAGCCTAGGCCTTTAATAATTAGTAATTGCTAGGTATAGGCCAAGGCCACGTTTGTGAACAATTTAAAAATAATGTATTTTGATTAAACAAAACTTCAAAAAGTGTAAATCGTACTGACTGATGAGAGGCGTACAATTAGGCCTTGGCCTAGCCTAATAAGTAAGTAAATGCCTGCAGCCTAGCCTAGGTTTGGAGACTTGGCTGGTCAGGCCTCTGTCCGAGTCGGGTGTTGGATAACCCATACACAAGCCAACCTGTACAAAAAGTTTCATCGACTCGTACCCATGTTTGGTTAACCCGTACACACGTCATTTTGCTCAACCACCGAAAAGAAATCGTTAACCAATGTTATGATAAAATGTTTAAATATTGTATTTTTTTTCAATAAAGCTGGTAATAAGGTACAGCACGTACATGTACTATAATTGTTAGTTTATTTTATGGTATTTTATTTTTGTTACACATTTCGGTCGCGGTGTATGGATCGCGGAATATGCGACCGCGTATCTACAACATGGTAGCTACAGTAAGCAGTATACCGTTGTTAAACACGAAACTATAATAACTAACGTATATGTGGTAGTAAAGTTTATCATTACTGCATACAGCACTACAGTACCACTTGTTATTTTTCTTTATTTACAGAAAAACAACGAAGGTTACTAAGTCGACTTGGTTTGACAAACGTTTCTATTATCGATATATATTTTGATTGTGTTTATTAATGCTTATTAAATAAAAGATTTATGAAATAAGTGTAGTACTGTGAAAAGATTAGTTCGTCATAACATTTGTTTTCTTCTGTTATGTTTTGTTTCCTTTCACTATAAATGTTCTAATGGCCATTTTAAAATGATACACATAAATAAATTAAAATAGACTGAATATTATAATGATAAAATGAAAACTGTAGTAAAATATAGTTTATATAATGTAGGTTAATGGATGTTTCGGGCTTATTTTTAACAATTAGGAACAATTCAAGTAGTACTAGTTTCCAGGAAACTAACTATAAGAAAAATTGGAAAGAAAATTTTCTACATATAACGTACTCTTGAAAGTAAGATTCTTTGTATGCCGCCTTCAGGAATGTGGGCGCATTACTACAAAGATAGAATACAGTAGGTCAGGTGATGCTAAAAATGGACTAGCGATGTGCGATCGGTAGTGAAGGTGTCACGTGTATTCACCTACTGTAACTTCATATTCGTATCGTCTCTGCTACTGGTTCTGTATCATAAAAATACACAAATTAGTAGAAATATAATATAGTTTTGATAAAAATATATAATATAAAGAAAAACTAGTAGGTGCAGACGCATGCAATGGCAGTGCAGGCGTACGTGTGGGTAACGGTAACTTTATTTGTATAATTTTACAATTCAGATATAAAAGTATATATTTGTTTCAACAAATTACATCATTGCCGTAACAAAACACAGAGGCCTTTATTATGAATAATTCAGAAATTGATAAATATAACTACTGTATGTACAGTATTGTACACTTGACTTTTCACTTCTGGGAACTGCAAGAAGAAAAAGAACATTGTTTTTCAATATCGAACACTACAAAACTGTACTAAAAACACGCTAAAATGATATTCAAATTTATTGTAATTAAAATTTCTCTGAAAAAATAGCAATTGTAAAAAAAAACTAAAATAATAATCATGATGAAAAAAAAAATATTATGTATAGTCAAGTCATCGTAAAATGCCAAAATAAATAAAATCAATACAAAATCTAAAAACGCACACAAAAAAAATATTAAATAATTACTTTCCGAACATTTAAAAAAACCATTCATGTGTACATCGGTGTTCCATACGCTGTTAATCGCAACCACCACATCTAGGCCTAGGCGATTGTGAATTTCTTAATTTAATGCATGCTCTGTAAAAGCAATTATGTATTCTAACCCGTAAGTTAGGCGTTCATAGATTAATATGATTACTATCTAAATATACAATTTGCAAAATGTTTTATTATAGTAAAAATATCATTCATCAAACTTGGGTACAGGTTAATGTACGCTGTGTATGGGTTGACCAAAGATGTGTACGAGTACACCAAAATTCTGTGTATGGGTCATCCAAAATTTGGGTGCGGGTTGTGGGTATGGGTTGGCATGGGTACGGCCAGGCCAGGGTCATACCTTGGCTTACTGTATGTCTATATAGGCCAAGGCTAACCTACAAAAGTAACTACTAGGCCTACCAAAAATAGTTGGATTTTTCACCATAGAATATTACTACTGTATAAAGCCAGACTTATAGTAAGGCCTGCGCTGAGAATATAGGCCTATCCTCCGCGCAAGAATTTGGCCAGAAATTTGTTTTTGTATTTTTGAAAATAAGGGCCGCGGGTATTGCTAAACCCAGCAAACCCTGCAAACCTAAAGAAAAACACTGCAAACCCCATGTAATTACGATTCCACACACTTACAGTATTTTCCTAGCAATTTTCTGCGCAACTTTCAGCTAATTTTTGAGGTATTATCCACACAATTAGAAACTTTATGGTATGGATTGTACAGTGTAGAGTAGGCTAGTGAACAGGGGGTTGGCTAGGACCTGTTTCCAGTTGTGAGCCTGTTTGACCGCGATGTATTTATTAACTGTTAAACATTCAGAATATCAGAAATTTAAGTGTTTTTTTGTTTTATTAAAATAAACATTATCCTTAATTTCCTAAGAGACTATCATGTTGACAGTTACTAGTGAGAATTTTAAGTAATTGAATATGTCACTCATTTCTTGTATTTTATGCCTGGTCTATGCTTCTCTTCATGGCGATTTGAGTATAATATAAATCGTTTTGATTGCTTTCCCACTGTTTTTTAAGTCAATATTTAAGTGAATATTTTATAGAGTACAGTATATTAAATTATAATAATTAGTATAAGAACATTTGTTATTAGACATAAATCAAATTTACTGAACGAAAACATACTGTAGAGCCTACAATAAATACATCGCGGCCAAACGTGTTCATGGCCGAAGCAGTCTACTGTACTGTATTTTTGTTACAGTATGTTGTAGAAGACTTAATTTTTTGAGAAATGAAAGCACATAATGTTTGCGTTTCTTTTACTTATTATTTTCGACTACCGATTAATAATAGTATGATATTTTCATGAAACAGCTACGATAAAAAAAAACAAAAAAACATAGGCCTAGGCCTATTTAGGTCAAAGGGCATGTTGTTTAGATATCACACTACTGCAGGCACAGCATAGACAGGCCGGGTGATGCAAGCATGGGGCTTATCTTTATAAATACATGTAAACAGTGATGGTAGTTTAGTGGAATAAACTTATTTGTGACTGTTTACGATTGTTTTTTAACATTGTGAGTCATGTTTTTACCTAGGCCTAGTCTAGAGCGATATTCAAAGTTAATTATTTAAGATTTACAAAAATTTACAGGAATATTTTGTTAAGCGGTAGAATAACGTAGGCTTACTGTAGCGCGGTAGATCGTCGCTAAAAATGGTAGACTACCGCAAGTAGCGGTAGACTTGGTACCTCTTCGTACCAGCTTGTGTAATGGGGTTGGGAGGGGGATCAATTAAAAATCTGAACGGAAATCCCTTTGTGTACACAAAGAGGCCTCATAAAATTTAAATCAAGCAAAATTTTGGAAAAATTTGACTGCACATTCAATCAAACTCACTGAAATAAAACAGAAACTGAGTAGGGCTAGGATTACTATTGAACATTATGGTCTACTTTGTAAAAATCCAATAAAATGTAAACAAACACTATAATTCACCATCACCACAAATATGTGTATATTTTTATCATATTCCATTTAGTGGACTTAAAGTTCCTGGGGTTTTGATCCCCCACTCCCCCCTTGTTACAGGCCTGTACTGTAGGTCTACAGTACGCCTCACTTGTCAGTTGTACTGTATGTAAACTTGAAAGACGTAGCTTTACAGCAATGACCTCTTAAGAAAAGTATAGATTTAATTTAATATGGGGAAGATAGAGCATAGTATTGCCTAGAGGCTCACTCTCGCTGTATCTGTCCCTGCCCATTAATTTTTTTGTTGATATTTAGGTCATTTTAATGCAAATTTTATTTTAGTTAGCTATACTTAACTTTTTACATTGTGTTTGAAGAGTGTGTTGTGTACAGTATTTCATGTATCAAAGACTTTTTCTTTTTTGTGTTTTCGACTTCTTGTACCAGATGAATGTTATACAGTACACACAGCAATTGTGATTTATTTGCTGGTAAATTATTAGTTTGTTCTCTATTTGCACCAATTAACAATCATAATACAGTAATACCATTTTACCTAGATTCTTAAATACTGTTTCAGTAAAAGAATGTATAATTGTGATTTCAAGGTGTTGAAAACATACTCTACTGAGTACTGGTCTTTTATAAAGTACTGTGGATAATAGAACCTGAGGTATTTTTTTCATGCTGTGTTGCAGAAAGTAGTGGCTGATTGAGCCAGGATTTGCAAAATTATGCAGTAGTATGTTCCTAAAGAAATTTCTTTTACTGAATTGAGCTTTTGTTTTAAGTTCGAACTACAACCTATCTTTTTAACCAAGTTGTAAATTTCTACACCAAAACTATTTCAATCTAAACAAATATTTTAAATTATTTTCTACAGTAACCACAAACTTTAGTTTTTCCCTTTTCTTGATTATATTAAAATGCTCTTCAATAGTAGACAATGACCTTCAGTAGGTTTTAAATCATAATTTTAAAAAAATCAAATTGTGCTATAATCCTCAGGAAAATAGTTTTAAATTTAAGTTTAAAAAACCATGTTTACTAATTAGTCATGCTTGTCTTTGAACGTAATGTCCTGCGCTCTAGACCAACTTACCTGTATAGTATCTAGTTTTCATATATTAGGGAGAGGGGTTAAGAATTCATTATCCTTTCTCAAGTTTCTTTTTTTTTTTTTTTTGGTAGGTGGAGTAAAACATAATACCTGTAAATGTGTTTAATATTATTTGTTTTGTCCAGGCCTACAGTACATGTACTGTACTGTATCATTTTCTATTAAAATGTGCTATACATTTTTTAAATACTGTATACAGTATACTGTAAAACCTCAAATTGAAGCCCTGGGCTTCTTTTTTTTTTTTTGTGAGCTTTGGCTTCTTTTCGAGATGGGCTACTTTTTGAGATGGGCTTCTTTTCGAGACTACTTTTGCAAAGTAAAGAGGGGAGGGGTGTTCTTTTCCAAATGAATGCTGTAAATTTTGTGAATTTGTACAATTAAACAATACTGTAGATAAGGTCAATATAACATCAATCTGTATTATGGAGTGTATTTAACTGGCATTAAATCACCTAAACTTTAAATGTAAAAACCAAGTTTGTTTTTAATTCATTTTGTTTTCTTAGATTCATGCAGAGTTTATGTAGGTACCGTGCTATATCGAAAAGAAGCCTATGCCATTTGAAAAAGCCCATGGGCTTCTTTTCGAGGCTAATTTTGCAAAAGAGGGAGCTTCAATTCGAGATGGGCTTCAATTTGAGGTTTTATGGTGTACAGTATATATATATATATATATATAAAGAACCAGTAAAATTTTGCCCAGGGTCAATTTTTTTTTCCTTCTGCCTATTTCAGGCTCAAAATGTTCTTATTTTAAACATATTTTACACTTTTTCAGAGATAGAGAAATTTATTATTGTGCTGCTTATACAGTATTGTATTATTGAAGTAGATACTGTACCCCTACCGCACATACATGTACTGTAAGGTAGGCCCTATTATACAGATAAGACCAAACAAATTTTACAAGGGAACCTTATTAAACGTTACAATACTGTAGTTTGATTTGTCGGTTTTTTTATTTTTATAAAAATAAAAACCTCATATCTTTGACATGTTACCTTAGCCTCAATTTGTTCTTAATTTTGTGTTAAAATGTGTTGTTATAAAAGAAAAAAAGTACAGGTACTGTATATATCAGTATGTCAGTACTGTATGTTACTGCAAGTCTGTAAAAGTGTATGCTTACTGTATGAAAGGTACAGTAGGACTAAACTGTAAAAAAAATCTTCCGTCATCCAATAAGGAATCTAAAGTATGTATACTGGATAGTCACATATCTCTCAACATACTTTTCTATAGAATTGTTCTTTTTTAGTTCAATTCCTAGGATTGAATGAGGAACTGCATGCCTGCTGGTAAGCATGCCTGCTGGATCCTGGTCTACACTCTGCAAGATGAAAGCGATAGGACATTGTTGGCATTCCAAGATCATCTGATATCTTCCATCAGCTAGACCAAGTCCTGACTTGACCTTAGATCATTTACCCACAAGTTTATTTATTTGAATATTTTCATAATTGATTTTGATTGGTTCTCGCTATCCATGTGACCCATAATGATGAAACATGTATCCACAGTTAGACAATATAATTTCTTACTGCTTTACCACAAGTAATGGAGAAATCTACATTGTGGTAATATAAAATAATTTGTGATTTAGTTAATGTTAGTTGTTTGCTCATTGTTATGTTTTTTTATTCAAATACAGTAATACAGTAGGTAGGCCTACTGTACAGTATACTGTAGACTATGCACTACTACTGGCCTACTGTACTGCTTCCTTTTTCAACATTCTGTGTTATTAAAGATGTAAAAAAGCTATATATTAGGCCCTATAAAAAATATTAGTTTATCACCCTATCTGGGCAGGAAAAGTGATGAGGGAGGGAGGCTTTTTTTTAATTTTTTTATTTTGCTAAAGCCAAATATTACCCTTGGTTTGTTTGCTGGTACATTGATATTCAAAGTGAAACATGATTTAGCTAATGCAAACAATATCTACTTAACTATTTAATAAAATAAATACTGTATGACAAATGCTGTGTTTGCTGATCTTATGATTTCCTGATACAAGTAACATGTGTTGATGATGAAATGTTTACAGCATGTTTCCTTGTGTTTCGTATCAAAGGAATTTAGAATTTATCTATGAGAACCATTTTTTTTCTACTTTCAGGATGTGGACGAGGCGGCCATCCTTTTTGTGACAACCCAGACGGTGTCTTTGTAATGCTGACATTTTCGTAGAGAGTTTTACTCTTATCAATTTGCCATTTGTTGGAATTAGCATGTTAATGATTCTGAGGATGTGCTGAGGCACAGCATTGAATGCTTCATTGTAGCATTGAGGCATGGCCCAGATAGGACCTGTGAAAACCATGCTACAAACCACACATAGTTTGTTATTTACTGCTGCTGTCATGCCACAGAACAGTAGCACACAGAACGGCTCGGCGCTTCACCGACAGACAAAAAGTGATGAACATTTACTTCTAGTTGAGAAACTTAAACATCACAAACCATCATTGAGTGAGGATCTACAAATATTTAAGGATAATTCCTCCCCTTTAGAAAAATCTAACTGGGAAGATTTCGTCCCTGGGTCTGGCACCCCTGACAAGAATGGACAGCTAACAAATGAGTTAGACGATCAAGGATTTGCAGGCCCAAGAAATGTATCAGTAAATGTTACTCACTTACCGCAATATGATAGAATGCAATCGCTAGGACAGACCAGTATACTAGAGAGTTTATCCAGAGAATTTGGAACTAGTTTTCACATGCAGTTGCCAGTTATAACGAACCAAGAACAATTAGTTGTTACTGATCTGGACAAGAGACCTCCCCCACCTGACTACCCTGGCACATTGACAGGCCCTGAACATGGATTACCTATAAGCAACACAGTAGGGAATGTGGCATATGGTGGAGATACTGACCCCCAACCCGAGGGCTCAAGGTCAGCTGAAGCTTTGGAGGAAACTGTCAAAGAAAAGTAAGTTATACACAGGTACTGTAGTTGTACTGAAAATTGTAGTGAAATTGTCTCATGGGTCCATAGTATGTCAACTCTTTGCTGTGTTTGTATGTACTTCTTACACGCATCTTTGGTTATGTAACATATTTCAAGGATCGCAAAGTCTCCAGGAAACAGTGGCGGCTCTAGGATATATTTTCTGGGAGTGCTAAGTTGTCCGACAGGGGGGACTTGAGCTCGTCGGCTCGAGATGGGAGAAGGGGTTGAGAGGGGGTTCCCCCTCCCAAATGAGATTTTTTTAAAAGAATATCAACCTCTAGATGGCTGAAAATGGCACTCTCAGACAGTGACAGACATGTGTTGGCTTGGTGTGGGCCTATTTTTATATGTTTTATGGTCTGACTGCCCAACGAGCTCTGTCCAGCGGGGGGGCTCTGTCGGGCGGGGGGAGGGGGCTTGACCTGTCCGGTGGGGGCTTAAGCGCCCCCTGCCACCCCGCTGGCGCCGCCACTGCCCGGAAATCGGTACAGCCTTCCTTGTTCCCGCTAGCACACAAAGTCTATTAAAAAAAGAACAAAGCTTCTGTAAATTCATAATATTGGCATGATTTTACTCCTTTATTATCAATTGTCTCACAGAATTCAGTGCCGATGGGTATCGCCAATTGTGAAATTTCTTCCAACTTGTGACCCCTGATATTCTGTTGCCTTTGGTCAATCGACCTACAGTATCTTTCTTTAGCAGCACATACATGTGACGGAAAGTTTTTAATTTTGTGATTGGCTCAAATTTATGTTGCTTCACCAAATTATGAAACTGTGAACTACTTTACAGTACAGTACTATTAAACCAACCGATTTAATTCAAATTTTTATATAAGACTACCTGCCAAAGAAAGTGGGAGAATCTTTAAAAATTGAATTAAAATTCTGAACAGATTTAATAAGTTACTTACTTTCATCTAGAAAGATATCGAAAAAGAATGATTTTTTGCTGATTTATATAGCAATTTATATACCAAAATCCTTTGTACCACTACCAGGAAATTTCAGAGTCAGTGCAGTATACCAGGAAAGATGTCTGGTATTAAACAGATGGGGACATTTTATGCAGATTTTAAAGTTAATATTACTTGATTAAATATATTCAGCTGTTTAAATATTTATTTTAAAATTCTTTTGTTTAGCTCATGAGCTAAATCAGAATACAAATTAAACCGTTCTGAAAAGTTCTCTTTTCATTAAATATGACAGTACAGTAGGCTAATTTCAACACAATGTTAACAAACGTAGTGAAGAGTGATCAGGTTCTAAGTTTCTAACTGTATTTTTAGTACTGATCAATTCATAACCAATTACAATAAACACCATTCCAATCTTCTTTATTCCTTTTTGTAGAACCAATTATGTGGATGATTTTGGGGCTAACAGGGTTTAGATAGATCAAAGCTGCAGCTAGTTTTACCTTGGGGGCATTTTCTATACAAATATTTTCCACACATTCCACATTTGTAAGACTGATGATTCCATAGTTTAAATGGTTGAAATTAATAAAGCAAAGCAATTAAACTGCCAATAGGAATGTTGCTCAATTAATCATGTTTGTAAAATACTGTAAGAAAACAGAAATTCTATTTGTTGTTCCTTTTCACTATTTAAACTAAATCTTGGAATGTTTTGGAATGATTACTATTGTATCAACCTTGAGATCTGTCTCTTATACACATCTAGATGTGTATAAGAGACAGGTGAAACATGATTTAGCTAATGCAAACAATATCTACTTAACTATTTAATAAAATAAATACTGTATGACAAATGCTGTGTTTGCTGATCTTATGATTTCCTGATACAAGTAACATGTGTTGATGATGAAATTTTTTTTGTATATACAATATGAGGCATGTTGTGGAAAAATTGAAATAACATATCAGTAAATTGGTATTTTCAGATACTGTACTTGACTATTCTTTAAAATGAAGGGTCATTATTTCTGTAATTTCAATAACATTTCTTCTGAAAATGTGTGTTTCAGGTCGCCAGTTTCACATACAAAACATAACTCAAATTTTGAGGTTGATCACGAGGCAATAGCTGGTCGAGCCACAAAAATGGTGGAGATTCTGTCGGAAGAGAACACAGCATTACGTCAAGAACTTGAGGGATACTACCAAAAAGTCAGCAAATTGCAAAAGGTAAAGAACTGGAGTATTAAAAAAAAAAATTGAAAATTTTATAAATACAGTTGAACTTGCCTGAGTTGAATCTAAAATGGCATTGAATAATTGTTCGACCTTCAAGTTCAACTTACAAGTTGTTAATTAATAGTAAACACAACTATTTGGCATGTAAAATATGATCGACTTGGGGTGCGTTCGAGCCATACACGCCTATTAAATTCCGTGTATATAACAGGTAAACGCACGGCTTTACACCATGGGGGGTCCCCGCATTCGAGCACAAACTTATCTTGTCTAACCGTATAAAAATTTACCTCGGAAATACTCGTTTGAGGTCAGCGAGGCAATAGTATATGCCATCATGCTACGCAATATTTACGTTTCTAACCACGCTTCACACACTTGTACTGTACTCCCTGCGCAAATACTTCAGTTTATTGGTGACCTGTGTCACCGTCAGCTTTCCCCTAAATTTTTCTTCGATCTTTGCAGTTATTTCTTTGTAAATACCGCTGTTTCGGCGGGTGCCATCCAGTTGTTTTTGTATTCTGTCTTCCCCCCACAATGAGAGAAGGTAACGTATCATAGGTTTGGTCCACACAGACATGTTGAAATGATGAAGATGATGCTATAACATTAACAACAGGTCAGCGAATGCATTTGTTTTTGTAAAACTGGACAGGCCTATGGTTTTCGCACGTGTTGAATTGAATTCATGTTGACCGTCAGACGGTAGAGCCATTAAAACATGATTAATGGTCGCGATAATGGCCTTTGACAGCGATACACGGTTCTATAACCCTAAATTTGGTGGTCAAAATAGGCGAGCGTGTTCCAGATGTTTTTTACATCTTACCCCCGTTCAAGCCACGCACGGCATTTAACTTCCGTGTAAATACACGGACCTCGCACGGATATTTTTCTGGCTCGAACTCACCCTTGGAAATTATTCGAGTTAGGCAAAGTCGAATTAGACAAGTTTAACTATAAAAAATAAATTATTGCATTTGTTGAATTGTACAGATTGGTGTAAAGAATACGGTAAAGTCAAAAGTCATGAATTTGCTTTTTCTGCCAAAAGTTGGCTTTTTTTGGTCTTAAAAGTAAGTTTCTGGCAGCATGATAACTTTTAAGATAACTTATTTTGAATCCACAACTTTAAAATCTTACTGATCTTTCTAATACCTTAAGGAGTAATTAACTTTATCATTCTCACTCTCACTGTAATCCATCAGGAGAAAATCCTTTTTCTATTTCCTGATTTAGTTAATTGTTAATGTCTTTGACCCAAATACAGACCTACTGGACAGTTTTCTGGAATTTTCCTTTTTATGAATCTACAGTTGAAAGTTTGAATTCTTTCACTCTGAGTATGTTTATGTTTTAATCATTGAATTTAAAAATAAAGAATGTCATGACCTTTTTATGAAAGTAGCCCACTGATGTATTTTAGCATTAATTTGATAGTAAAGGTTAAAGGGTCTTTGACAGTAATGCTGTTAACTGTAGATTTAGGCATGCTGTACTGTGTAGGTAGATTTTGGTTTTGTTTGCAGCCTGCGAAAATAATTAAAAAAAACTTAAGAGTATGGTGTATCCAGGATTTTGAAAAGGTTGAGTTGGAGGGGGTGGGGAGTGGGTGGTCTGAATAGTACATACTGTATTATTGCTACGTCGAACTTAATGCAAGGCATGTACTGTAAATAATTCCTCTAATTTTCTTTAATAAAGAACATTCTGTTATATTCTGCGAATATATGAATAAATGTTGATTTGATTTGATTTTTGTTTTGAACTAGGTATGGAGATACTGTAGGTGACTATGACCTCCATGCTACATGACTAAGTACACCATAAATTTTTTGTTAACGTCTACTGTACTTTGCCATTTCTGGTACTGGTACCGGTACGGGCATTTATAATGCGCCTTTTCCTTGCGGTTATACTGTAAAGCGCAGTTCCTTTCCCTGGTCATTGGGTCCACATGCTACGTGTTGCTGCTGGTAATCTGCACAGGAACAGGCAACCCCACCAGGTACCCATTTATACTCCTGGGTGGAGAGAAGCAATGCAGATAAAGTGTCTTGCTCAAGGACACAAGCGAAATGCACAGCGAGGGATTGAAACCCCAACCTCGAGTTTGGGAAACCAAACCGTTCCTGCTGCTCCAAACCGCTTCTACTGTACACTGCTTTCCATTAAATTTGCTATAATTTTTTTCATGTTTGAACAAAAAAAAAACCCAAGTTACCCCACTGCTATTGTGTGTTATGTTAGCTGAGTAGGGAGCTATGGTAGTAAGAATAGTTTGCTACTGTGTGTAAAGGCTGTGGCCAGGCCTACTGTGACCTGTTGTGCATGTGGTTTAGCCAAGCTGTAATTTGTTTAATCTTTTCTCCCAATAGTGTCTGCTTTGCAATGATTTAAAATAATTTTATTTTGAATATTTATTTATTTCGCCTTTTTATTATGGTACAACAATTTGAAATATACACAGTACAGTAGTACTGTAGTAAAGTACAGTGTAGATACAAATGTTTAGCACTATTGCCAATAATTCAGATTTAAAAAAAAAAAAATTTAACTTAAAAAAAATAATTAAAATTAATTTTTATATGGTATCCCTCATAATAATAGTTATTAACATTATAGCATTCAAAATCTAACAATTTGAAATTCGCTACAAATGGCTGTGTATTCAAGACAGATAGTTTAACACCTTGACCTTAACAAGGTCACTGTTGGTAAGTTCATTTCTCCATGGAGGTATTTAGCACACATGAAAAGTTTCTTTCAAGGTTCAAACTACAAAGTAATAAAAATATTGTAGTAAAGAAAAATAAATACTATATACATACCAGCCTATATAGGGGATGAAAGTTGTTAACTGCTGTGCATTTCTTAAAAATTAGGTCAAATATGTTCTAATGTAATATTAATTTTACAAAAATCAAAATTTCCTTTGTCACATTACAGACCAGACACAATGTACAGTAGATGGCTTGTGTATCTCTAATAATTACTCAAATTAAAATGAAAAATTGTCAGTACATGGTTCAGGATTTTAGTGACATTCTGTCATGGAGGAGATTGTGTATGCTATCCCTTTTGGAAGAAATACTTTGGCTTGTATCCAAGTCAAACACATTCCAAACCAGTCTGAACCATTTTAATTAAGGGGGTATAAATACAATTTTATCATATAAATTTTCCTTCAGAATCCTGCGGAACAGTAGCTGTACAAAATAAATGATCTGCAAACAGGTAAATTTAAGCTTAAAATGCTCTAACATACTGTAGTAGAAATTTAATGAAATTTTATAATTTGAATTTGATACAGTACTGTATGCTACTATAGTGCATAAATAATAGTATTTGAATCCATCTTTTAATGAAACATATTAATACTTCACAGTGTGTTTTGTGGGTATACTTACATTTAATTGCTATTTGTCATTCAATAAATAATAGTACTTTTACTATACCATTCCTGAACATTCTCTCAGGTTGGCATTCCATTTTCCCTTAGGGAAAATCAAAGGTCATAATTGTACATCCCCGCTAGATTAAATGGTATAATCCACCTCATCTACTGAAAAGCTAGAGGTGGTTTGGTAATGAAGACATTCCACTTATCCCAAAGGGGGATTTCAAGGTTTTTAATTACAACTACTACCATGTTGGAAATTTGTTTTCAATTGGAATTGTTCTGTAGTGGGTTTTATTGTTAAATATTCTGAAGTTTTTTTTTCTCTTTTGATAGAGTTGTAATAAAAATGTGTTTGCTATAATACATAACCATTGCATATGTGACATTTGACCTCTAAAATATTTTTGCATTATTTGTATAGATTTATTCATTATTGACAAGTATTGTTGAGAATTAACAATCACTGGTATCTTCATAATTTTGAGATGTAAGTTTGAAGTTTGGTATTGAGCCCTGGTCGTTAATAAGTGTACTATTCTTTAGTTCACCAGGCAATTTAATATGGTATGCGAGAAAAAAGTAAGCTTTTAAAAAATATTTTTTAAAGGTAATACCATTTGATATTAAATAATCCTTCAAGACCAAAACACAGCCCTTGGACTATGTGCTAGGCCTAAAAACCTTTACTGGAAGACAACTTGGAGTATGGCTTTAAAAGTGGTGAGCATGTTACTTTAGTTGGCCTGAAAGTAGAATTTATACAAAAAAAAAATTAATCGCTTTCTATACCCCAAAAACACTGTTTTTATTAGTAGGGGGAAACCCTACTCGGATTTAAAAGCCTTCAACAAACACTCTTGTTATTAGTGAATTTGAGCTCTTCATTCCCTAAATTTCACGTAGCCAGATCCAAAATCTTATTAGGCATGTGATTTTGGTTTTAACGGACATCACCATGGATGTACATACAGTATGTTACATTTTGCATACATAAACACAGTGTAGACCTACTGTTGAATTATCTTTATTCATGTTATATTTGTTACACTACTAAAGCATTTCCACATAACAAAACAAAAACAGATTTGAAATGGATTTTCAGTCTCTGAATTGTTAAGGACAGTTTACTGTACTGTAGCATTTTGCATTTTTTATACTTCACTGCCTACTTGATATTCTACAGCATGTACCAAGCCTTAGCCTAGCTGTGCCTGGGACCAACATACCAAAACCTGGCAAGTCCTGATCAAGAAAATTACCTCCATGATCTTTTGATATAATGATGTCATCATCTCTTCTATATAGTGACAGAATTTTGTATTAACCTACAGGCATAGGCTACAGTATATTCGCTACATATACAACAAAACAAATTTTTTTTTTTTTCCTTCGAATGAATTCACAGCTCTCCAAAAATGCGGCCCGTAGTTTGTGTACTGTCGGTCTACAGTACAATATGCAGTTTAGTTAAAAATATCATGTCAGACCTTTGGCGTGGTTTAACTAATGAATTCTGGTTGAGTTTTGCTGTCAAGAGCTAAAACTGTAATCTTCAAGAACAGTTTACAGTTAGTGTTTTTAAGTGTCTATTTGTGGGTGATTGCAATGGTGCAAGCAATAGTGTATTAAGTCAGAAGTATTTGTAATATCATGAAACGGCTCATTGCTGCTTATTAAATGCAAAGGTATTTATTTGGCTGTTAATATATCAACAAATTACGAAACAACACAAAACCATTTTGTTGAGTACAATAAAAAAAACAGCCTTGTTATGTGTAATGACCACTGAACCGTTTTGTATTGTTCAGTTTGTTGTATCAACGCTTGCATTTAGGTATCCCTTCGAAATTGTATTTTCCCAAATACTATACAGTACTGTACACTGTGCTACTGTACTCAACATGGGTTTCTTTCCTGCTAGTACCTGCTAACTGTTAGCACTTTGTTAGGCCAATATCAGCCAAGGTATTAATCATTATTTATAGGCATTTCTGAGATAGTTTCTTTACTTTCTATCTGTCAACTCTATGGGAATGGCCTAAGAATGTAAGTCATGTAGACAGCAATTCTCCACTCACTCAGCAAGTCAACTGCTAATTTTCTGTAATGTACTCAATTACCTGGAGAATGTACGAAGATATCAGATGAAACAAAGAGATATTGAAAAGAATAGAAAAGAAAACGGAGATGTTTAATATTGGGGGTAGGGGAGGGGTTGAGTTGACCCATACAGGGGCACATTCTGAGGCAGAGCCTGGGAGCCCAGGAGATGTGCATGAGCAAGGGCTCAATGTCGGAAAAACATTGGCCTCTGTTGTTGGACAAACCTGAGGTTGTTGGACTAAAATTATATTACGTAGATCATACATTTAGTTGTATCAGCTTTTATCTGGAAAAAAAACTAAAGTTGATATTGAAAAAAATGTCTTCTTTCATCAAAACTAAGGCAAAAATTACAGTATTTTTAGGTGATGGTACTATTACTACTATTACTATTTTTACTCTCAAGTGCTAGAGTTTGTGGTTGTAAAAATGGCTTGAAAATAATAAAAATTTTGGTTTTTTTTTTTTCAAAATAAAAGTAAAGTGTATAGGCCTATCTAATTGTTTATATTTCCAAGTATACTTCAGTAGGCTTGACAACAATCTTTCAGATCATTTTTTTTGTTTTCCATGAAAAATTATTATTTATTTTAAAAAGCCAATAGTAAATGCTTTCATGAGGCTCCAAAATGTGATGAGTGCGGTTATGTGAAACTAATAATTATTTTCATTTGGCCTGATTTAAAAAAAATTTTTTTATAGTTTGAGCAAGATGTAAACAAAGTACAGGCAGCACACCAGAAGATAGTTGAATCGACTATTAAACGTGAAGTTCTAGAAACTAAGATGAGAGTGAAGCTGGAATTAGATGTTAAACGATTGCAGGAGGAGAATAAGGAATTACGAGGTAAGGTCTCAAATTGTTAACCAAAAATATCAAATTCCACATCATTTTCGGATTTAAAGCCAAAATATCAGTTCTTGTTAAAGTATTTTTCTTGAGCTCTAAATATTTGTACTAGCTTCAGTATTTTTTTCAAACTCAAAAATTTATTTTATTATTCAGGTTTGATTTATAAAAAATTCCATATGTGAATGTTCAGCAGTAAATCAGTCACTTGGTGTTTCAGAGAGTACAATATAATTTGTGGTACGCCAGAAGAAAAGTAACGTGAGCATCATGAACTTTGGATTATGAGCACAAAATACCACAAAATAGAAATTGTTGCTTATCCTCATCATATCCTGGAATGCTTTTTAACTTTCCAAAAGAGTGTGCCTAGACTTGGTGCAGGCCTAGAAGGTAACAAATGTTGGCAAAGAATAATGGGCCTCAAGTAGTATACATTTCTGTAAAAACTCCCAACAAGAAATATGTTTTTTTTTCCTGGCCTTATGGTATAAAAGTGAAGATTGATTGCAAGGCTTCTGTGGAGAGTTTAGGTTGTTTCTGCTGAGATTCCTGCAATTTTTAGGAAGTGACCTTATAACCCTGAGATTGGTTACCTAGTAATTAACAAGCAAGTCCTCTATAGTACTACACTGTATGTACTGTAATACCAGCAGGGAGTTGTTATAGTCACTATAACAACACCCTGTGTACAGCAAGCAACATTCATCCTACAAGTGAATGTCCATATTAAAGTTTAAAAAATAATAAACTGTGGTGTTTTTATGTCCATGCCATTGGTTTCAATAAAAAAAAAAAACAGTAGGCCTAACACTTTTTATGTTGTTATGGTCTCCATGAAGTGGTTTGTGACCATAAAATGAGAAATAGTTGAAATATGTACCCCTGTGTCTAATTTGAACTTATATCATACCACAATAGTCAGCCTTCATTATTTCATACCAGGTTTTAATGAATGTTGTAGTCTGTGTGTAGATTGTGGTTACTGTGGCAGCTATCTGGATGTCACTTAAATTTCTAAACATGAATGTGACTGAGCTTAAATCAATGTCAGTGATGCCATCGGATTGGAATTATAGCAATGCTGATCTTCTCCAGTTCTTTCTTCATTTCAAATCTTCTAGAAATGATTCATCAGTTTGTTGTACAATGATTGTTGTCGCCACATTTTCTACTTTTTGACTAAAATTTCATTTGACTATTCAGCAATGGCACATTGTTGTTCATTTATCTTTAATAATTTACTGTAGTTTAGTTAGGGATGTATTTGTTAAAGTATTTTATCTATTCTTATAAAAAATCTTACACACATCACTTTTGAGATATTCCTCCTGTTCCTCCTTTTGTCAATTTCTGTATATTTTTATTGCAGCTTTGTATTGTTTACTAGCCATTCCAACCCTACTGTATATGATTATTAATATTAATTCAGTGTCAGTCAACAGTCGTAGTGGTAATGAAGTAAACAAACCTATTATTACTCTCCTGCTGCACTGTATAGGATATTTCGGCTCCATTCCCTGGAGCCCTGTTCACCTTTGACTTCGTATTCTCATTACAAAGCTACAATGTTAATAGACCCTGAGAAAGCTCAATAAACTCAGCAAAAACATGAAAATACTGTTGTATATATTATTTTGTTGTAAACTTGTAATAATATATAATATGATAAATAAAATAAATTGATTTGGATAAACTCATGGTAATTGCTAAATTGATAACTGATGATGATCTCATAATAGAGGGATTCGGCGATGGGCTTCATGTGACCTACAGTAACTTGGGTGTTGGATATAAACAATTGACTTGCACAGCAGTGTTTTACATAGAGATTGCTATTGCGGCCGTCCCTTGTTTATTGCTGTAAAGATCATCATAATTCCCAGTAAACTACTGTATACCAAATTGATTTTAAAATTCAACTTGAGAATTTTGCATTAATGGTTTGCTAATGCCTGTAAAGGATACTGGCCGCAAACATTGAGATTTTTTGACAAATGCTAAGTTTAGGCACCTATCTACAGCATGGTTAGTAATGCATGATGGTCTTCGACCCGCGAACTACCATGTGATGTTAGGGCTAGCTACTGTATGGTTTATGAAGATCACTTAAATTTCAAAGCATACAATCCTTGGAGAACACTAGGATACGTAAATACACACTATTTTGAAACAATCGTATTGCCTTTCCTAGCCATTTATTTCTCGCTTTAACAGTGGGTAGTTGTTTTCGCAACCATAACATTATCTTTCCTATACTATCACACTGTAATGTTTTTCACATATACCCAAGGTTAAGTCACGTGACGAGCTGTAAACAAACATTTGCCGAATCCCTCTATTGATGATAATTAATGATAATCAATGAATAACAATATAGTATGTTGATGATATATGACATCAATGATAATTAGTAATGATGAATGACAATAAAAGAATTATAATAAAGGTTGACAATTTCGTATTTTCACAGCGAGTGCCGAATGTCTGCAAAACGCCAAATTAACAGCTCAAGAGTCGCAGTACATCTTGGACTCGGACTTAAAAGCAGAGCTTGCCAAGAAAGACACAATTATAACTCATCTCATAGCCCAACGTAAGCATTCTTCTTTTATTAAATCTTGGAATTAGCTTCTTGATCATTCTCTTTTATAGAAGCGTGTGGCGCAATGTGTAAGGTGTTTAAAACTGACTTTGGTCGACTTGCTTGTGTCTTTGTGTCTTTACTTACGTTTGCCTGGCTCCACCCAGGAGTATAAATGGGTACCTGGTAGGATGGTGTTGCATTGAACGTACAGTTTGAGGTTGAGCGCGTAAAGCAGCATTACTAGGGATACTCCCCAGGGAGCAGAGAATGTTGCACAAAAATTTGTCTGTGTGCCAACTCAGTATCCAGTGACCAGGGAAATACTGATGCCAACGCCTTTGTATTTTCTCCGGATTGTGGAAAGCGATATAGTTTATAAATTTGGCACTTTACCTACTATGGTTGTCTCTCCCACCCAGGAGTACAAGTGGGTACCTGGTAGGTTCAAACATAAAATGTGATGATTACAGCTGCAACATTATTGAATTCTCCCCAGGGAGCTGAGTATGTGTTCCATTTGTACTTTGTACTTGATCCAATGATCGGGGGGAGGGGGGTGGAATAAGCACATTAAGTCTCTACAATGCGCTTTTTAAAGTCGACCATTATTAATATTAACACTTTGACTGCCAAAGACGGAGATCTCCGTCTTTTGTTACACGACGCTTGACTGCCAAAGACGGAAATCTCCGTCTTTTGAGTATTAATACAATCCGATAGATATGGAAGTTGTGGACCTGTGGTAGAAATTTCTGCAATAAATTCGTTTTGGGCCGTACATTTTTTCACTTTTAAAACCCCACCCCCCTCTCAGTTGTGGGTATGTGTACAAAGTCATGTGCAATTACACCGGTGTTTTTATATTTCATTTTTATCAATATGTACGTATATCTAACGAAGCAATGAAAATAGGCAATATTCACACTTTTAGTTGATTGGAGGAGGGTGGGGGTGGGGGTAGCCAACGCTACCCCAGGGGCTCAGTGGACCTCATCCATGCGTGGGATTTATAATTTTATTATGTTAGATTTATGTATAAATAACTAATACACTAAAGGGAAAAAAGTCTGATATTGTGTTTAGTTGTTGCCAATTTTAGTGTTTAGGAGTTGTGAAACTAAAAGTGCTGTTTTCTCAGCTTTATTGCCTGAAAAGAGTGAAATTGCAAAAAGTTATCTGTTTACTATTCAAATTTGTGTTGCAATAGTTTATTGTATGAATAAAATGTATGATATCATTTGAAAGCTCATGAATTTCTCTTTATTTTGGTGTAAAAAACATTCCATATTTGTATATACATGTGTTCTCAATGCGAACTGGAAACTTGGTCATATAGGCTAAAATGTCTGGCAGAGAACATTGCTATTACTAAAATGGCCTGGCAGTCAAAGTGTTAACATAATTATATGTTGAATGATGTTGAATTATTAAATTCTCTAATTTCTTATTTTTTCAGATTAGAATATTTTTTGGCAGTTTTTGTTTTTTGGGGAACATTTTTAAAGATGCACAGTCATTTTTTAGTTATTTATTTAAATTTCAACTGCTCTTCATTGGAATGCTATGTTGTATTGTAGCAAATTTGCAATAATAATGTAGGCTGTCTACACCTTGATCACTTCCTCACTTTAATTCCTTTGACATTAAATGGATGATTGATGTGTGTTACATTGCTGTGAGTAGGGTGGCAAAAGGCCAAGGCTGTGGTTGGTTGATGGGTTCTGCATGACCACATGCTTCAGTAATCAGCTCAGCAGCTGTCTCTTATACACATCTAGATGTGTATAAGAGACAGTGTCTGCGCAGACCGCAACACTCACAGAACAGCGCAACCACATTGACCTTCTGGACACCGTCTTATCGAATGCACAGGCTAATGTTTCCAAGATGCAGGAAGAGGTAGGATTTAATAAAAAAAAATCTGATCTGTTCAGTTAATAGAGAGGAATCAAGTAGTAGTGTAATAATTAATGTATGGGGCATGTCATCCCAGAAAATGAAATTGACTTTTTAATTTAGTTATAATCTCCGTCATTATAGTTAAAAAATGATAGGTAATTTACTGAAATCGACTATATTGCCAAAATTATGATTAAAAGTATTACGGCTTCTCTGTACTGAAGTTTACTATGCTGCCACATTCTTAGACGAGATTTTTTTGTATACCTTGATAAGCAAACCCGCCAACTGCAAGTATTGATGATTTCGAATAAAAATAAAATTTTATTTTTGGCCAATTAGCGCACCCGCCGCCACGAAAAAGTGGAAATTAAAAAAATTTAAAAAAATGATGAAATTTAAATACTGAATTAATACTTGAAAACACTTGACAGACAGGGTACTGGAGAGGTTGAACATTGTCATGGTTACTGATGTACTTATTGATTGTAGTAATAATAACAAAGCGTTGAGTAGGTGCTCTTGTACTGTGTATAACAAGGGGTTAACATATTTATTACCATAATATATTATATTTTTCTGAATCTGAATATTTTGTGGTCTCAGAAATGATCAAATTCATGCAGTCTGTCATCAACCCAAATGCATATCTGTTATAAATTTTAATTTGTTTTTTTTTTGTACACAGTCACGGAAAAGACAAATATTAGAAGAGCAAGTTGAATCCCTACAAAAGACGATGTTTGCTATGAAAGCGGCAAATTTGAAGAGAGAGAAAAAAGATCAAGAATTGCGCCTTGATTTGGAGAGACAGATTGAAAACCTTAAAAAACAACAGGTAAAATTAATTTCTGCAGTTTTATGAACATTACGGATATTATTATTGAACTGCAATTCTTGTGTTTTCGTTACTTATTCTTCTTTTTTTCATTTTATATATATTGTAACACATGTCAATGATGGAAACTATATGTTAGTTTGAATTGAATTGAATTGAATGTACTTGTTAATTTTTTAGCACAGCTGTTTACATAACATTATTTTCCAGAACAATACACGCAGTAACGAGGAGGAAACAGGTGGTAGTGATTGCCAAAGCAACCAGTCCTTGTTGGAAATGCTTAAGAAAAAAGAGGAGAAAATTTGCAGCCTTGAAACTGAAATTAGCAAGGTAAATAAGAGAATCAGTGACCTCATTAACTTACAATGTATACAGTATCTCCGCCCTTTGCCTGAATACTGAACAATTATACGCCGATAGCCAATCAAATATTTTCTTTCTCCTTCATTGTCATTTTCTTATTTCTACTTTATAGATGGAATTGAAGTTACAAGAAGAAAGTGCAATCAAGATGGTTGCTCAGTCTAACATACAAAGGTATTATGGAATGAAATATTTAAAATGTGGGTATTACGCAGTGAGTGCACTGGACAATGGATGAATAATTACATAAATATACAAAGAATTTGATGAAAAGTAATATAATCATGAATAATTTATCCAAGAGAAGTGATCCTTCTATGCTGGAGCATTGTTTTAGAGTGCTGATTTCATCTGATTTTAGCTTATATATTTAACTCAATAATTGCATCCAATTTGTCTTTCTCTAATAATTGTTAAGGGTACTGTAGATGTAACAAAACTTTTGTCCTAATTGAAGAATGATTGTATCAAGGCAAATGACGTAATGTAACTCAGTAATAATATCGCTTGAGAGTATATTAAACACTCCTAAATTTATAGAGAAAAATACAGAAAAGTAAAAATTTCAAGTTACGTCATTTTGCCTCGGAATGGCCAAGAAGACCATGATATTTAAGTATCGTGACCAAGATTGTATTTGTTCGAATCAGAATATTTCCAATAAAATAATAAAATATGTAAAAGATCAACCAAAATTAAGATGTGTATTTGTGTTCTTGTAGGGATGCAAGGATTGCAGCTTTAGAGAAAAATTCCATAGAAGCCGAGAAAATTCTTGTGGATACACAAACAGAGAGGACACGGCAGGCAGAGGATATTTACCTGGCAAAGAAACGTGTTGCCGAATTGGAAGCAACGTACGTAAAAAAATACGAAATAATTATTCACAAGTTGTCATATGAATTTTTTTGTGTGCACTGAAGTGATTCAATGGACCTTTCCACTAAGCCCCGCCCCTGGATGTTGTTGCTAAGGTCCCTCATAATGGCCGTGTTGAAACATGTGCAAACACGTGCGTTTGTGGGACAACATGTGTGCTTGTTTTAGACACGCATATTCCTGGCCCTGTTCTGATTGGTCAGGTGTTAAGTTTGATTGACACTCTAGAAAGATCCATTGGACCTTCCGCTAAGCCTGGTCCCTCGTGTCATGTTGTAATCTATGTAAAATCTACTTTTCTTTCTGCAGTTGATTCTTGTTATTTTGGCCTTTACTAGCTGTCAATTTAAATACTTTACTTTTATATTTTTTAGAATTAGAGTCTTGCAGTCTGAACTCGCTCATAAAGACTCTCTGATCCAAGTCCTCCAGCAGCAATCCCTACAGAAGGATGCCTCCCTCTCTTCCCTTGAGAAACTACTGCGAACAACGACATCGCCACACAGTTCTCTACAGAACTTGCGGATGGGTTCTTCAGAGTCTGTACAACAGCAGTCACGACTCTCTGGTAGTTCAAACTCCCTCCAGAACCTGTCTCAGAAATCACCAGTAAACTCAATGCAAAATCTGACAGTCAAATCACCAGCAGGGTCATACCAAAACTTGTCAATTCGACCCCAGGGCAAAGGGCATGGGTCACAGGAGAGGTTGCTGATGATGGGAGATTCTTACATGTCTCACAGTACATCTGCTTTATCATCTATTGGATTACAAGGTAAATAAGATGCTTGCTTTCCAATCCCAGGATACTGGGTTCAACTCCTGTCACTGTTGTAATAAATGTCGCAACACAATAAATCAGAATATCGATACAGAAAGCAGAAAGAATTAATGACTTCAAAATATAATGGAGAACTTAACTTAGTCAATGATAAATTTTTGCAATGAACTGATGGTAAAATAATTTAAGTTGAACATTACAAAAAGTTTGAGCTGCAGTAAAAACAAGTTATACTTTTTAAAATTAATAAACACATTAGTATACATTATATTTCTAACACAATGACAAATTTCATGCAGGTTGAATGTGTAGATCAAGTCTTTGTAAAATGAATTAAAAATTTATTAGGACTATAAAGTGTATTAGCCTCACTTGCTACTATATCATTAACAATAATGATACCATGTGAAGCATATATTTATTTTGATTAATAGGTGATTTTTCCCCCTTTTCTCTTAGAAGTTGAGAAGAGACATGTGTTAGATGAGAAACTGAAGAAGTTGGATCAAGACATTGCCCAGCAGGTAACGTAACTAGTAGCATATCTAGTGTGTTAACATGGGGAAGTGCTGATGGCAGTGGGGGGGGGGGGGGGGGGGGGGGGGGGGGGGGGGGGGGGGCAGCAACTAGTTGGGAGAGTTAATTGATATGAGATGATTATAACTACTGGAATATAAATGTTTTGCTCGTGTGTTGTAGCACAGACAATTCTGTACTTATATCCAATGTACAAACATAATTGGTTAAAACTTTGAAATAAACCCTGTTGCCAAACTGAAGGAATTGAAGGGGTAAAGCAGTGACAGATACACAGGGGAGGGTGGGAGGAAATAGCGAATTTAACTGTGCATGTCTGTCCTTGGTGCATTACGTTCTCTTCTGAAATGTGGAAGAGTTGTTGGCTGAATCTGACTGTACTGTATTAAACATTGGTGCATCAGTCTTTTTGTTTGTGACATCTCTGCGTACGGTTCGTAAAACATCAAAATCGATTTACAGTAGAACATAAAATGCACGCGACAACAGTCACGAATGAGTGAATTTGTTCTACGTTCTTAGTTGAAAGCTCCATAATTTCACCTCCTTGACTGTAAAAAAGATTGTAAATTTTATTGAAAAACATTATCTATGTTTTATTTTGAAAATTTCAGGATAAAATTCTGGACTCGTTATTCAAGAAATCATCAGGCCAGAATGTTTGAAGCAGTCTCGCTTACATTTGCAGACGAAATGTACTTCATATCTTTGATGTTGTCTACTCTCTGACAATGACGACTGAGGACGCTATACTAAACTGAATTCTGGTGACTAATTCTGAGAGAATGGAATTGGTCATGAGCTGGTTGTTGTAGCAATGCCAATGCAATCTGTTGGATATTTGAAGAATGTTTGGAGAGAATTTATACATAATGACTGAGCTATCATCATCTGGCCATTTGATGACAACGGTCTCTCAAAATGTTTTGGGAGAAATAATGTTCATGGACGGAAAATGTTGAGCTGATGCCTACATTCTACTGAAACCAATATGTTTTGGTTTTTCTTTTGTATGCTATCTTGGCTTTGAGACTTAAGATTTGTGAAAACATTACTTAACTTTTTAGGTCTATATTATGAACAGAATTAATATGCAAAAAATAATTTATCTATTTCTTTAAAGAATGTAATGAATTTTGTAGAAAATACAATTGATAAATACAATTTCCAAATAACTCTGAAATATTCTTTTCTTTTTTTTTAAGTTGAACTAATGTGCTGGACACTTAGTAATCAGTTAAAAGCCCCAGAAATTACTTTTGTTCTTTTTTTTTCTTGTTCTAAACATTATTTATTATCATTCTGTTTTTGATCAGTGGATATTCTTTATGGTAAATTTATAAATATATTCTGTGGCGTAATTGAGTTCTGTAATCAATTGTTAGGTGTACAAACATTTTGGTGTCTGCAAAATGTGTTAATATGATATTTAAATTATTAAAGTGTTGTAATTCAGAAATGTGGTACATTGTACATATTTTAGATCCAAAATCTAGTAGTTTGTCTTATTGGCATACTCCCAGATATGTATGTCGTTCACATCTGACACCCAAAATACAGTAGAACCCCAGGGGACACCTTCAGGACCAATTGTTTTAAAAGATGCACTTTCCCTCGTTTAGTGCCTGAAAAAGTGTCCCCTTTATATCGGTGCCCCAAAGGAGGGTTTCTACTGTATTAATGCCCCCTTTTGAAGTTCATGTCTTTGTTATTTTTTCTTGCAAGTAGAATTGGTGCCAGTATTTTTATATTCACAAAGTCTAAAGCTTGCCAATTATTCTTGTAAATTGTAGATATATTCTAGCTCAAAAGTAACAGTATATTACCATAGGTACAGTATGAGATGGTATGGAAGTGTTGGTATCAGTGGATAGTCACAGATGAATTATGGGTACGATGCAAGCTTAGACATGTTACCTAATATAGTAGGAATACTTTCCTTCTTCGTAATGATATCGGGTGTTAATTATATTTGTACATTATATTGATTAAAAGTACAGTATTAATTGTTGGCAGACAGTGCTTAGTTTTTCATTGGTGTTTAATTTGAACATTGTTTTCTCAAATTTAACAATGATCCTTCACTTCAAAATCTGACAATGAAATGTAATGGAGTTCTGAAACTCCAATAGACGAAACCCTTTGCATTGTGATGTTGCTGTACTCCGAGGTCATTCGGGCATCGTAACAACCAACCGACTGCACACCATTTCAGGTCCCACGCAACTACTGTACAACACTCCATAACGTATGCAAGTGCATCCCCTAGTTCCGTGAGATTCCCTATCCCCAGGATTGGTTTCCACAGTGGTATTATTCTGGACCAGGGGACCTGCTGCTTCGTGGGAATGGGGGAATTCCGAGTGTCTGGACACACAAAGATTTTAGTTGGGACAGGAACACTAGTACTGTATGCAAATCAAAACCACCAAATTAATTCTTGAGGAAACTCAAAAGTGTAATACAGTCAATGATTACTGTACTTTCTGTTGTGTAGTTTGTTTGAATGGCTTGACAGACAAAATCTATAAACTGACAAAATCATTGAAACAAATAGGAATTTATATCAATATGCATTTCACTTTTGTCCTTGAGCAAGGCACTTTTCATTGCTTCTCTCCAACCAGGAATATAAATGGGTAGCTGGTGGGGTTAAATGATCCTGCGCTGTTTACAGCAATAACGCTTAAGCATGTGGACCCAATGTCCAGGAAAAAAAGCTCTTCATACTTGTTTTTGATTAACTTGATACTTATATTTTATGATTGTATACTTTGTAAGTGAATTTTCTTGCCAAAACAGTGTTCTCGACACATATTCTGTAATTCTAGTCATATTATTTGTACAGGTTAGTTTATCTTTGAGGCCGATTTTCTAAAAACATGGTTATTATACACCTAAACTTTAAATGTTCACATCTCTGGATTTACTTATAGTAGGGAATCTATTTAAAGACCAAATGAAAGCTTATAATGTGATATACCCAAATATAATATAATAATGATATAATATAATATAATTTCTAACCATGAGACTCATTTTGTGGCGAGACCTCAAATATTATCACACCAAATGACAAACATATAAGACACAAACTCCTTCCCAGTGCAAGTAACTGTGTACTGTATGTATTTTTTTTTCTTTTTCATTTAAATCATTCATTGTTTATTTATTGTATATACTGTAGTGTAAAACATATTTATGCTGTCTTGTTTTGTGATTGTTACCAAGTAACCCAGGCAGAAAAGCATGTACTGTATATGAAAAATAAAAGAATCTGAATAAGAATCAAATACAATACAAATACAAAGCTTTATTATGAACTGGTACGGGGATTTATAATGCGCTTCTTCCTTGCAGTTATAAAGCCCAGTTCTTTTCCCTGGTCACAACATTTATTTTTCTAGTTTTCTATGTTTTTAATATTAACACAAATCCATTGTGTTAAGAAGTTAAAAAAATAATAAATGAATGAACCACAGGTCATTGATCGTACAACATTTTTAGAACATCAAAATGCTATTTTTTTTTTCCTTAAAATTTTCTTTGAGGTTTCGACAAAAATATAACTTGACTACTAATGCTCGTATAATGTCGATGAATTATTCAGAAACATCATTTATTGACAAAATCAATATCCATGATTCCATACATGATGAAATAAGTTTCCCATTAAGTTATATGTATGCATGTATTCTATGCCTACATTGTTGTATCAGCAGTTTTACTATTGTTTAAATTTGTAGTTTAATAACAGGCAACCAGGAATCCGGTTTAAAATAGTTCACTCATGTTATTTTGGGGTATTTAGGGCCTCTTCGTGGGCCTATGCGACTATCGGAGACTATGCGGACTGACCAATGAGAGTGCATAGGCCTTACATGCCAAAGTTTATACAGTTAAACTTGCCTAAAGTTGACTGTGCCCAAGTCATATTTGCCAAAGACGACTGTGCATTTAAGTCCCTTAATTAACAATCTGTAAGTCAAATTCTATCTAAGTCGAACAATATTTCAATGGCATTTTGGATTCGACTTAGGCAAGTTCAGCTGTAATTGCTATTTTATATATATAATTTATAAATAAACATCCCAAATGTCACATTAATGCCTAATCTTGCCAAACTCATAGGATTAAGTGCTGATTTAGATTAAAACACCTAAAACCTCACTTGAGATCTCATTAAAACCATGAGCTCTTCTGTGATGTCTATCATCAATTCATGAGCTCTTTTGTGATTTCTGTCACTAATGCATGAGTAATTCTGTGATTTCTGTCATCAATCTATGGGTTCTTGATGTCTTTCATCAATACATGCACTCTTCTGTGGTGGGTGTCATCAATCTATAGGTTCTTGATGTCTGTCACCAATCTATGGGTTCTTGATGTCTGCCATCAATCCATGATTTCTTCTGTGATGTCTGTCATCAAACCTATGGGTTCTTCGTGATGTCTGCCATCAATCCATTGGCTCTTCCTTGACGTCTGTTGTCTCCACCTGCATCGTTGCCGCTTGTGCCAGAGACATCAGCATACTGGTGGCAGCTGAAGAGGAAGTTGTCATAGGTGACGTTTGCAAAGCACTTGTTGGCGTTGAAGACATAATGAATTGCGGCTTTGTTGATGCCGGTCGTTGCGGAGTTGTATTCGGATTATTAAAAACTTTTACAAAACTTTGCGTTGGTGTTGTAGGACTGATCAATGGCTTAGGAGTAGAAGATAACTGTAAGAAAGTAATATGACATTTGTAATTAAACAATTCAACACTTTTGATTTTAATCACATCTAGCAGCAGGAACAAACCAAAGCTCCATTTTGGCCATTACATCAACTGACCTTTGGCAACAGACATTACATGGACAATGACCTAAAACAAAAAGATATTAGTTTGCCATAACGTCCACCAATCCGTCAGAACATATTGTTATCGTAAATATGGCAGCTGTTCATTTTCAGTTGCCTCCTCACAATTATGGAACTTACCAGACTCAATTTCTGTTCATCGTAATTTCTTCAGATTTAACCTTTATTTCGAATTACCAGGATGATGTCTGACGGGGGATTGTTTAACTCCAGTTTAAGTTAGTTTTAGTTGTAGTTAAGGTTTCCTGGGTATGACGTTAAAATGCATCTACTCGAATCGCTGGCGACTAACTGGTAGCCCCATCTACGGCCTTAGCGGCCTTGTGGAAGGGTGAATGGTCACCCAGCAGCGATAAAAAAAAAATAGCTAAACAAAGGGTGGAGCCAAAGACAAACCATGCTTAGTTTAAGGAATAAGATTACTTTTTTTAAGTATTACTTTCTTATTACATTTTTACATGTAGAGTATATGCTCTATAAGTCGACCGTTAATATTATTATTATGATAAAGATCTATTTAGGTGTATTACAAAAATGAATGTAACTTACAGGGGCTGCACTCTTTGGTGTTGAACTCAGCAACAGCATCTTGGTTTGGCTAGCCCCACTTGGTAGGGAGTACGTTCTGTGAATGGGTCCTGGTTGGTGACTTGGGGTGGTTAATAACGTGGGCGTGGTTGGTATGTAAGATGTTGGAGTTCGTGGAGAGGTGGCTATAATTGTTGTTTGCCTTGACTGCAATACAAAAAAGTTAAAGTCATTGTTAAGTTATTAAGAAAATTTCAATAGTTAAAATTTAGGATGTATATGTTAAATTAAACTTCTAACTTTTCCTTTAAAAGAATCATTGATGTTTTATCATCAGTAAGCATTATACAACGGCAAAGAAAAGATTCTATACAAATACTCATTATTATGTTCATTATTAAATTTGGGGGTGAGAGGAGTGGGAATGGCTTAAATGCTACTTACCATAAGTGACAATGATGGCTTGACATTGCCAGAGCTGGCTGGTGGGGGAGGCTGTGCATTCGGTTGTGTACGCAGCCTTGTTACGTACTCGCACAGACTGGTGCCTAAGTAGCCATAGTCTTTCTCGTACACTTCAGGAATGTCTGGCTGGTCACGTAAAATTTTAATAATAGGGCCACAATGTTTCTAGAAAGTAAAGTGAATATTTCAATTTTAATACATCTTTTTTTTATCATCATCAGAAAATAATTGTAAACTTGTGTGTGAATTAAATTAATATCTTTGAGTACAATGCAAAATTAATACATAATCAAAAAACAAGATAACCTAAAACCCAACAGAAACAGCTTTACACTATTGGGGGTCAAACTTATCAGATAAATATTTGCTGTGATATTGAGCATCTTACTCAAACTCAAGGTACGGAAACTCCAAATTTTGCATATTATTACACTTGTATTTACAAAGCTAAAATTTGATTGGATAGTACTGTAATACAAATCAATTATTGTTTTTAGTTGCCATATGTCCAAGAGGATTGTCTTTTAGGATTATGGTCCTAAGGTATGACTTTGACTTTGGACCATTATTCTTTATACACACATGCTGGGGTTAGTATGACCACTTTTTCAGGGCAGGAGGGGTTCTTACCAATATCAGATTTTTTAGATGTTCTGCAGACACTTTATCAACGCTGGTTACCATGGAGCCCTCTACAGACATCTGCACACGTTCACCAAGTGCAGGCAGCTTGACAATCACAACGGTTCTTACCACCTGTTAGATTACAACAATAATAATGATAATAATAATAATTATTACTATTAACATCTAATATTAAATAAATAAACAGTAATAATAATACATATTAACATCTAATAACAATACAACAATGATAACTATCAAAAAAGGCATATAAATTACAGATTATAAGGTAAAGGTAAGAGAATAACCCATAGCTTCCAGCCTTATTGTGCTGAAATCACCTACAGTATTGCTGGGGTCTGTAACTTCTGTAGCAGCAGGCTTTAGAGAGGTGCTTAGTAGCTTCATGTTTACATCACTCCACAACTATAAAGTGGCTGAAATTATTGAGAGCATTTTGGTAACCCCTACACTATCAAAAGATTGAACGGGTCTAATAAAGTATAGTAACCACAGGCCAGATGGGTATTATACTGAACCTCTGGTTTTAAATCCTTACTCTAGAAGACTTGGGTCTACCAAATGAATCCTGAGTGAGAATATCTCAAACCAACACATACATATGTCAAGGCTGTGGTGCCCATGCAATACTGCTTCACCACTCAATTTCTACCATTTGTAGTAAAAGCAGTTATACTATAACAACCCAGAGGTGACGGAACTAGAGGGTTATGGAGAGTAATGTGTGACCGGAAATGGTCTGCAGTCAGTTGGTTGTTACCATGCGCCAGTGATGTTGGAGTATATAGTACAGCAATATTAAACTAGGCCTAATGAATGAATAAATTTCGGAGGTTTGTCGGGTAGTGAAATGATTATTTCACATTTTAAGTGCTCCCTAAATTCATAAGTGTAAGCTAAATTACGGTGATTAATTTAATTAGCAAAGATAATTATTTCGAATCCCTCTTTCCAAGAGGGGATGCAAATGATGCTTTGTGAAAATGAGTACGCCGCGGTACTCATTTTCACAAAGAAATACACACAACTGGTTAGCTAACAATTATGTCAATGTTACATGAACACCTGGGAAGGAAGGTGCAATCACGTTGTTACCTAGCAGACGTCTGTACTGTATGGGGAGGGGCTCCTGATGTACTGTGTAGC